TCCAATGAATTAGAGAGAAACCTGTCGATATTTATGGATATATCAATTTTATCTTAGTTTCATTGGTTGCTATACATTCAGATCGTGTTTGAAGGAATAATCGGGGACGGATATAGAGGGGACATAGCAATAGATGACATTTCTATAAGATCGGGATCGTGTTCAGGTAAAAGTATATATTTTCTATACTTATTTTAGTAACCTTATTTAAATAAATATAAACTGAAAACAAGATTTAATTTGTAAAAAATGCTATTCCACCGCATTAATACAACCCTAAACAGAATTTATTTTTGTTTCTATCAGTTGAACATTGCCATAATGCATATATCCCTGACCTATCTAATTTTTATTATCAGACAAAGGGATACAATAACAATTTCATAACAACCTATTTGTTAACAAAAGAGAAGATGTCAATGTTTGTGGTTAACTTTATTGTTATTTAAATAAAAGGTCAGAATAGGGATCTATCACTGCATTTGAGTCTAGTGAATTTTGGTGGTGAGGGTCATATTTCACATGACCTAAATTTCATGGCTGTAAATCAAAGCACAAGACAGTAAGTCACTTTGTCAAAATCTAGGTCAGTGATATCAAAGTGCCATTTCCATCGTAATCTGTGCACATGGTTCAAATTTCATAGCTGTACATCAAAGGACGAGAAAGGTCGCATAATCAAAATCTAGGTCACCTGAAATTTAACAACTTAAACTGTGCACATGGTTTAAATTTCATGGCTGTACATCAAAGGACAAGAAAGTAGGTCACCGTCCTCTTGGGAAGGGCAAAATTTTGACCCAAGAATTCAATTCAAACAATCTTGATACAGGTCCACCAAACAATGTTTCATGTCAAATATCTAAGCTGTAGCTTTCTAATATTCAGAAAACATTTGTTTTAGTTTCTGTTATTACTATGTGTACATATGAAAATCAATGCACCCCGGTCAGGGCCAATTTTGACACTAGTGGAAAAATTGAACAACTTAGGACCTATAGATGATATAATATAGCAAATATCAAAGCTGTAAGCCTTGTATCTTCAGACAAGAAAATATTTTAAGTTTTAATTGTATGTTCATATAAAAATCAATGACCCCAACCCGGTGGGACCAATTTTGACCCCATGGCTATAATGTGAACAATCTCTGTAGCGGTTCACAACGCAATGTGTCATGCCAAATATCTTACCTCTAGCCTTTGTCAATTCAGAGAAGATTATTTACATTTTTCAAGTTTTTATTATATACATATAAGGAAAACCTATCATCCCTGGTGTGGGGCTAATTTTGACACTAGGGGCAAACTTTAAACAACTTAAGTAGAGGGCTCATAGATGATATTATATACTAAATATCAAAGCTCTAAATCTTGTACCTTCTGACAAGTGATTTTTTAAATTTTACTATATGTACATAGTGAAAATCAATTACCCTAGGGTGGGGCTAATTTGGACCCCAGGGCTATAATTTAAACAATCTTGGTAGAGGTTCACTACTTGATGTTTCTTGCAAATTATCTAACCTCTAGCTTGTGTCAATTTAGAGAAGATGATTTTTTGATGTTTTACTATATACATATAAGGAAAAGATATGACCCCCGGGGCTGGGCTAATTTTTAACACAAGGGGCAAAATTTGAACCACTTTGGATGATATCTTGTATCAAATATCAAAGCTCTAAGCCTTGTACCTTCAGACAAAAAGATATTTTAAGTTTTTACTATATGTACATAGTGAAAATCAATGACCCTCGGGGCGTGGCCAATTTTGACCATAGGGCTATAATTTGAACAATCTTGGTAGAGGTCTACAAGGCAAAGCTTTATGCAAAATATCTATGCTCTTGGCCTTGTTGGTCTTTACAAGAATATTTGTTTAATTTATTCTTATGATTCATTTTGGTTGCCATGGCAACCAGATTCAACATGGAATGAAATTCTTTGAACAACTTTGGAAGCCCTTCACCGAAGGATCCTGCCAAATTTGGTTAAAAATGGACAAGTGGTGTTCTACAAGATGATTTTTTAATTTTACTATATAAAATCCTTATAACACACATACGTACACACAAACACAGTTGAATCGCTATATGCCACCGCATCGCAAATGCTGCGGCGGCATAAAACAAATTTAATTTTCTCTACTATGCTAGTAATATACAAGCTGTAACTTGGTTACAATTATAGATCTGGAATAAGGTATAATGAGTTTTATTTTCTTCTTATATCTCGACGGCGCCTATATATGGATCAAATTGTATTTCCCCTCTCTTCTATACAAACAACTATGTGAACAGTTCAACTCTATTTATTTATAATGATAATAAAGTATTCTCTTCATCTTAATTTTTAATTCATCTACATGTTAATACATCCACTAAATTAATCGATCAATCATCAATCAACAATCATTAATCAGTCAGTCAACACTCTGAAACTAAACAAATAACATCAACAATAATTAGAGTTAAATCAATTTCTTATGTCTGAAAAGTATAGTTATCATTTATAATTTAAAATTATCATTCATACAAGACACTTAGTTGAACAGTGGGTGCGTAAATATTTTGATGAAGTATTTGTGTGAAATTTGCATTTTTTTTAATTTTTTTTTACGAATAATAAAAGATTGTAAGTGGTTAAATTGATCTCCAAAGATGCACTGTGTTTCAAATTCAGGAATTAGAAGATAGGTTCATTTAGATATGAATAAGGCAGTTAATAATACCTTTATGTTTAATGTGAAATTTGATAAAACTTAAGCTATACAATTACTATATATTGTTAAGTAACCTGACTTTCGATTACTATGAAATGAAAAAAAAAACACACTTGCCATCTCTGTGTCGTTAATTTTAGCAAAATGATAGGTCAATTTAGAAGCACCATGTTTCAGACAAATAAATAGGAATTAGGAAATATATGCGTGGATGCGACAGAATCACATACTTATAATATACAACTAGTATACAACAATTTGCTGGACGAAATTTATTAAGCAGCATATATTTTGATTAGTTGATACCAGGTTTTACTTATCACCTATACTTTATTCCATGGAACATAGAATTAAAAGTTATGAATGTGTTTTATCACACATATTGTAGTGAAAAGGAGGTGGATTGTGAATTAACAGTAAAGGATAGTTTTCTATTATTGATGATAAAAAATTATTGTTCTTTTGAATATTGAAACAATTTTTCCAATACCAGACGAAATCAAGCAAATACACATAGTATACTGCTTTTATTTAAGTATATAACTCATTTGCAGATAACAAAAGACTTATTTTGATAATAAATACTCTTAACACTTAGATTGTGACTTTAATGATGACTTTTGTAACTGGATGCAATTTGATGGTGATAATTTCGACTGGGACAGAGGAAAGGGAATAACGGAAACTTGGTACACTGGACCAAACGGTGATCATACATCTGGAGGTAACAAATTACATAAAATATGTTTTTTAATAACAACAGATATTTTCTCACAAAAAATAAAAGACAAATAATGTTGTTGTTTTTCATGAGCTAAAACTAAGACTTTGCAAAGCACGGTTATTTTCGGAGTAACTTCTGAAGCCATTATTGGTACTAAATTTTATTAAGTTTATCATAAATTCAATATCACCAAAATTGTAACTGCATCTGCAGAGCAAATCATTTTGAACTCATCTTAATCTGGTCCTGTATTTTTGAATTAATATGTGAGAAAAAATGTTGGATTTTATTTGTTACATGTCCTTCATTGGACAAAATAATTATTCATTTTAGTATCTGAAATAAGTGGAAATATCGTCAGGTATACACCCGCCGTGAGTTAATTATTCTTTATTACGAGAAACACATTAATATCTGCACATATCATTTTAAAAATGTAACAAACTTTTAGAATTTTATAGAATTACTTTGTCTCACAAAAATTTTGTGACATAATGTTTTTCCCTTCGCCGTCTGTCTGGCCGTCCGTCTGTCTGTCCGAACTCAAAGGTCAAACTGCTGGCATGATCTCAATGAAACTTCACACGAGTGATCAATAACATCACTGGTTGAGCATATCTTCGGCACGTTCCATTGTTCTGTACAACATAGCCACCAGGGCAAAAAATAGAAAAAAGTTTTCCGGCTTTCAGAGGTCAATCTGTTGGCGGGATTTCATTGAAACTTCACAGAAATGATCAGTACCATACCTTGTTGTGTATATTGCCAGCACGTTACGCCTCACAACACAAAATGGCCACCAGAGCTATAAATAGAAAAATTGTGTCAAGCTTTCACAGGTCAAACTGCTGGCGGGATTTCGACATTATTTTATAAGAGTGATCAGTACCACACCTAGTTGTGCATACCGCGGGCACGTTCTGCTCTACTGCACAAAATGGTCGCAACAGCTAAATGTAGAAAAATTTTGTCTGGCTTTTTATATGTCAAACTGCTACTGAGATTTCGATAAAACTTCACAGGAGCGATAAGTATCTCCTAGTTGTGCATATTGTGGGGACTTTACCTTTGCTGCACAAAATGAACACCAGGGCTATAAATAGAAAAATCATGTTAAGCTTTCACACGAGTGATCAGTATTATACATAGTTTAGAGAGACACATATTTTTGTAACAAAAACCCCTTCTAGTTTTGTTTTATAAAAACAGTGACTTCACCAAAAGAAATGAAGTTTATTTTGTATGCAAGATCAAAATACATTTCACTCGTCAACACATGCTCTTATGATCTTTATATTACATCTGATATTCACTATGGTCATATATAGAGGATATTCAAGTTTTTCAATAAATACGGGATTTTTATCCTGTGGTATGAAAATAAATATTTCAAAAGGGGCTGTTGCCAAATGTCAAATATGATAAGATATAATAGATCCTGTATTGATAGAAAATTTATAGACAATTGTATTTGTTTATGACAAGTAAAACATGGCAATGTTAATAAATGATTGCTAGAAAAATTTAATCTCGGAAAGGTAAGTGTCACAAATAAATAACAAGTAAATTTAATCATGCATCTATTTTTTATGTAGTGGGTTACTACATCTACTTAGAAACGTACAGATGGAACAAGGGTAAAATAGCAAGATTAATGAGTCCGATGCAGTCATCAGGTCAATACTGTTTAACATTTTGGTACAGTATGTACGGTGGAGATATTGGTGCAATCAACGTTTACATAGAAATGAATGACGGGAACAAAACTGTTATTTTCTCAAAAGACAAGGACATAGGCGTTCCTGATTGGTGGAAATCGGTTTCGAACATAAATGCTTTTGACTCATATCAAGTATGTGTGATATCTGAAAATTATATTTATATACATATGTGCATGATATAGCCAGTGTATTAGTTCATAATGAATATAAAACATATAAATGCCTTAAACATATAATGAAATTAAAATGTATTAAGTAATTTGTATACTATTTTTATACCTGTACATTCGGAAGACAATATATACATCACATGTTACCCTTATATATTTCCAAAATATTTATAGCGAGATTAAACCAAGTGTTTCTTTTAGATTGCCACTATGTGTATTTGTGCGTAAATTAATAAGAAAAAATAAACTAAAATGTTTCATAGGACACGGGTGCCCCCACAATCCACTGTTTTATCAATCTAGTGACTCTAGGTCAAATATTATTTGGGCAACACGTGACACAGTTTGAAATCTGAAAATCTTTTACTAAGTCAAGGGCAAAAAATCTACACATAGTGAATAAATCTACAAGCAAACCCAACATTCTTGTAAAATTTCAGGACTACAGTTCAAACATTTTAAGAGCTGTGCATGAACAAGTTGCAATTTTATACTTTTTTATACAAGGGCAATAACTATAACAAAACTCTAACAAAAATTCACACGGAAAAACCCAGGTGCACAGCTTGCCAGTGGTGTTCATCATCATTCCCTTACATTGGGTTGATTCTAACTCAAGCAATCAAGGTAAACATAACACAACATTTTGAAATGGCCTTTACTAAGTCAGGGACAATAACTCTACAAATATTGAATAAATCCACAATCAGACCCAAGGTGCACAACTACACATGCAGACACACATTTCTGTTAAGTTTTATGACTCTAGATAAAATACTTTTGAGATAAACTCAACACATGTTGAAAATTGCAAATGTTTACTTATTCAAGGGCAATAACTATTGGAATACTGAATACACAAATGAAACCTTCGGTGCATAACTAAATATGCTGACCAACATTCCTATAAAGTTTCATGGCTCCAAATCAAATACTTTTTGCGCTTTGTGCCACACAAATTGAAAATTAATTTTTTCATCCAGTCAAGGGCAATAAATCAACAGAATAACAATAACAAAACATAATTATACAACAGACAAACATCAGGTACATAACTTCATATAATGATCAACATTCCTGTAAAGTTTCACTGTAGGTCAAATATTTTTTGAGCTTCGCACAAAAGAAGTTGAAAAATGTAAATTTTTATTAATTCAATGGCAGTAATTCTGTTAACAAATACAGAATAAATCCACAATAATACTCCTAGGTGCACAACTACACATACTGACCAAGATTCATGTTAAGCTTCATGAGTATAGCTTAAATACTATTTGAGCTACGCAAGACACAAATTGAAAATTGCAGATTTTTACTTATTCAAAGGCCATTTCTCTGACAAAAGAGAATAAAACCACAAGTAAAACCAAAGGTGCACATTTTCACATGCCGAGTATTATTCCTGTACAGTTTCATGACCCTAGGTCAAATGCTTTTTAAACTATGTGTGACACATGTTAAAAATTGAAAATCTGTAAAAATACTGAATAAATCTACACGAAAGCACCCGGGAGATTACAACATATGCTGACCAATATTCCTGTAAAGTTTCATGACTCTAGGACAAATACTTTTTGAACTACGTGCGGCACAATATGAGAACGGACGGACGCACGGATGGATGGACGGACGGACGGACAAGAGTAAATCTAAAAGCCCCTGCCCTATAGTCGGTGCGGTATTAAAATTGTATGGATATATCAATTAATCTTGCCTTAACTTTAATGGTGGTTATACATTCAGATCGTGTTTGAAGGAATTAACGGGGACGGAAATAGAGGGAACATAGCAATAGATGACATTTCTATCAGATCTGGATCGTGTTCAATAGGTAAAAGTATATATTTACTGTACATTGTTGAGAAATCTTATTTTTAATTAGTATAATCAATAAACAATTGGTTTTCTTTACTGTGCTAGTAATATTCTAGGTCTACAAATAATTATAGATTGTAAGTGGTTGCATTGATCAACCTATGATGTATCGTATTTCAGATAAAAGAGTAGGAAGTAAAAGATACGTAATTTCACACATAAATAAATAAGGCAGTTAAGTACAACATTAGGTTAGGGCGTGGACGGTTACTTGCACTTTACAGTACCGTCCATCAACAGGCTCAATCAAACCGAGCCTGCAACATTTTCAATTTTGTTGTGTTGGATTTCTTTAGGGATTCTGTTTTTCTCTCTTTTATTGTCACATCCGTGTTATTTGTGCCGTGTGGCGACTGTAAAAAGTCTCTCCGTACATTTAATCAATGATGTTATATTTTCGATCCTTGAAGATCGTTCAGCACAACATTATTGTTGTGTACACATGTTATGTGGTACTTTTAATTTCTTCTATACGGCCATTTTCAACTTTGGTGGATCCAGTATTCCTACTTGAATACTGTATAATCACCCTTAGGATATGTTGCCTGCTTTTTATATGCCCGAAAGAATTTCGGGCATATTATGTTATACCCCCTGGCGTCCGTCCGTCCGTCTGTCTATCCGTCCGTCCGTCTGTCCGTCCGTCCGTTAGCAATTTGGTTTCCGGAGCATAACTTAAGTTCCATTTGGCCCACAACATTCAAATTTATAGGATGATTGTCCATATTGGGTAGAAGACCCCTATTGATTTTGGGGTCACAAGGTCAAAGGTCAAGGTCACGATGACCTTAAAACTGAAAACAGTTTCCGGAGCATAACTTAAGTTCCATTTGGCCCACAACATTCAAACTTCATAGGATGATTGTCCATATTGAGTAGAAGACCTCTATTGATTTTGGGGTCACAAGGTCAAAGGTCAAGGTCATTATTTCTTTTAAACTGAAAACAGTTTCCGGAGCATAACTTAAGTTCCATGTGGCCCACAGTATTCAAACTTCATAGGATGATTGTCCATATTGGGTAGAAGACCCCTATTGATTTGAGGGGTCACAAGGTCAAGGTCACTATTACTTTTAAACTGAAAACAGTTTCCGGAGCATAACTTAAGTTCCATGTGGCCCACAGTATTCAAACTTCATAGGATGATTGTCCATATTGGGAAGAAGACCCCTATTGATTTTGGGGTCACAAGGTCAAAGGTCAAAGTCACTATGACCTTAAAACTGAAAGCAGTTACCGGAGCATAACTTAAGTTCCATTCGGCCGACAGTGTGCAAACTTCATAGGATGATTGTCCACATTAGGTAAAAGACCCCTATTGATTTTGGGGTCACAAGGTCAAGGTCATTATTACTTTAAAAATGAAAACAGTTTCTGGAGTATAACTTAAGGTCCATGTGGCCCACAGTATTCAAATTTCACAGGGTGATTGTCCATATTGGGTAGAAGACCCCTATTGATTTTAAGGTCACAAAGTCAAAGGTCAAGGTCCCTATTACCTTAAAACTGTAAACAGTTTCCTAGGGTATAAATTAAGATCTATTTGCCCCACAATATTCATACTTCATAGGATGATTGTCCATACTGGCTAGAAGACCCCTATTGATTTTGGGTCACAATGTCAAAGGTCAAGGTCACTATGACTTTAAAACTGAAAACAGTTTCAAGAACATAACTTAATTTCTATTTGGCCCATAGTGTTGAAACTTCATAGGATGATTGTCCATATTGGGTAGAACACCCCTATTCATTTTGGGGTCACACGGTCAAATTTCAAGGTAGCTATTATCTCAAAACTAAAAACAGTTTCCAGGGCATAACTGAAGTTCCATTTGGCCCACAATATTCAAACTTTATAGGAGGATTGCTATTTGAAGGAGGTAATACTTTATTGAATTTTTATGTAATGTCTTACAAATGCTTCATCCTTAGTAAAGAAAAAAAAAACACTTTCGGGCATATTATGCTCCGCCTAGCGGTGCTCTTGTTTAAATTTGTCTTTTGACGTCTTATCTGTGATATGCAGGCTTCATAACCTCAGATCTCCTTTCAAAATTCCAATTTATTTAGTTCCACCCATTGTTTTCTCGTTTAGGGCAAAAACATTCTTTTACTTGGGGACCAAACGCCGCTTTTCATGGAATGGCACTACTGTGTCACATTGAAGGTTCCATGATAACCGTCGTATGAACACATCTGCTGATGTTTCTTAATTCAAAATTTCGCCATTTTGGTGTAAAATGTTGAATTATGCTTAAGTCGGTGCTAAGGGCGTGGACGGTAACTTGCACTTAAAAGTACCGTCCATGAACAGGCTCAATCAAACCGAGCCTGCATCATTTTCAATTTTGTTGTGTTGGACTTTCTTTAGGGATTCTGTTTTTCTGTATTTTAATGTGTAATTAATTATCATTTAGATACGCAACATATATTTTGATTAGTTGATATTAGGTTTTACTTATATCGTGTGCTTTGTTCTTTTCAATCGAAAATAAAAATATAAATATATATATAATATAATAAATGTGTTATATCAGACATATTGTAGTTTCAATATGTGTTGATCAGGAGTTGGATTGTGAAATATTAAATATTAATACTGTCAAAATATTTTCATACTATTGTTGGTCAGAAATAAACGTTCTTTTTCGGCTTTGTTAGAATTTTTCTAAAGTGACTATTATGTCCACCCGAGAGTACATGGTGAGAGTTTAGGTAGAGTTTAAGTACCTTTACATTTTTTGTCATATTTGTTTTCAATTTTATAATAAACGTCACCCGAGAAAACAATAACATACTTACCCAAATGACAAACATAGATATCTATAAATGTCTATAGGAAAATACTGATTGATAATGTTCAATTGATAAAAAAAAGAGTAAGGCAGCCATTTTATAGTTATAAGTTAGATGGTTTTTACATTTTATTTTAAACATTTGTGTTGATCAATGATTGTTCAATCGCTACGAAATAGTCAATCTTTTGAAATATACGACTAATTAATTTCAGCTTGACAGTGAAAACAAATATAATTTAAAGCGCCAAACACATTTCGATGACTCCATTATACTCATAATGCTTTTATTCAATTAAAAGTGTCAATTCACCTATGAGCTACTTCTAAATGGTGAGGCCATTAAAGTATTTTCATTCGGATAACAATTATAAAGGTCGATCAATAAAAGACACTATTTATGAATTTGAAAAGAAAAAAGAATTACTTTGATAATCAATGTTCATAACACTTTAAGATTGTGATTTTGATACCGATTTTTGCAACTGGATGCAATCTGATGGAGATAACTTCAACTGGGATAGAGGAAAGGGAAGAGTGACTAGCGACACTGGACCCAACGCTGATAAAACATCAGGAAGTAAACCATTACATTAAATATGTTTTCAAATATTAGAAATTTTACGAAAAATAAACGAAAACGAAGTGACAAAATCAATTCATATATTTTGATTAGAATAGACATTTACGAAATTTTTAAAAAGTACGGGTTGTTATGGAATAAAATCTAGCCACATGATTTGTACTGATTTTTATTCCGTTTACCGACAAATCAATATCACTAAGTATCTAACTGTAACTTTACTGCAAATCGTTTTGATTTTTTTTCTTAATCTGCTTCTGTATTTTTGAATCAATATTCAAGATTAAATGTTTTTATTTAATGCAATTTTAAAATTGAGTTATTATATAACAGATGGGTATACATTTTATTAAGGATAGTACGTAAAACTACAATAATGTAACGAAATATGATTGCGTCTTCAATATTGCATATATACTTCGAACAATTATGTATAAAAAGAATCGTTGTCAGCCACTCCGATACATCATAATTTGTTCTTATTATTTTTAAGATTTTTGTAAAATTATAAAAGTTTGTTAATCTTATGTTTATACCACATTCACGCCGGCATCGGGAGTCATATTTCGGGTCGCCGTGAAAGAAACGTGATTAACGTAAGTCAACGCAGGATTCCGGGATATCCAAACGTAACAGATATTAGCCATTCTTGAATTTTATGCTACGTTTACACTATGTTCACGGCAGCGACGAAACCCGGAATGCATTGGAAATTTTGTCATATACTTTTTTCCCCATTTTTTGCGTTTGGTATTCATGTTTACTTGTAAAATCTTGATAGTGCACCTTTGAAAATCCATTTTTAAACCAAACGGCTTATCCTGGATACAATGATAAAACGCGAGGAAACTTTTACCGACGGCGTAATACTTTTTTGGCAAACGAGGTTGCCGTTTCTTCCGTTATCATAGTTTAACTGTAACATAAAATTATGCATCAAAACTATTGCCCTGTGATTATTTGCTTGTTTTCTTATTTTCTCGTGAATTTTAATACTACAGTCTGTTTTCTACATTTCTTGGCGGTCGATCCACAAACCGGCATTCGTGGGACACCTACTAACTACATGAGTTTAAAGAATTATTTTCCGCAGCTGACCGATAACTAATTTCACACGATGTCTGAATCAGTTGTGAGAGACAAATGGCCATTGGAATCAATGCCCGAGATCAATTGTCACTGAGAAGTTACTTCTCGCCCGAGATTTGATTTGTCAATAATGATCACGGAAACATTTTCAAAACATTAAGAAGTGGTTTTTTCTTTCTAAAAATATTATTATACTTTCTTTTTAAGGAGGTCACTATATCTACATAGACACAAGCTATAGAAAAAGACATGATACAGCAATATTATTAAGCCCCCTTCAGGACGCTGGGAAGTATTGTCTCTCATTCTGGTATTACATGTATGGTTCCAACAGTGTTAGACTTCGCCTACAAATATGGAATACGATCGGCTCAGAGCGTACAATGTTTTCAATTGAATCAGCCCTGGGCCACCAACAATGGTTTCAAAAAATGATTTTTTTATATTCAGAAGATGTTTTTCAGGTGAGGCTGATCTTATGTTATTGTTCAACATCAATTGCTTACCTACTTAATGAATGATCCTCTTTATGGGCATTATTAGGAACTGAAGACTTGACAATATATTTCAGTTTTATCGATTGAAAAACACATGTACGCAAAATGTAAATAAAATTTATCATATGGTTTACAATGGGCACTTTTCTAAACTAAAGCTTGGACATAAATATAAGGAAACTAAATAATCTATAATATCATCCTTGAAAAATAAGATATTTCCTATTGATTATTTTAAGAAACCAAAAAATAACATTCAGCTAACTAAAAACACAAACAGAATGATGTCTCTACTTAGAATGATTGTAATGTGTAAAAAATGTTACACTGCCCCACCTTTCTTTTTCCTGTTTAGAGAGCCTAATTCAAAAAATATCTCTAAATTTACAGGATGGACTGTTTTCAAAGTTTGTCTAAATTTTCTTAAAAGTATATCAGTTGATCTTGTTTTCATTTAATTAGACTTTTAACATACTTGTTACCGATTTTGTTATGTTATTTATAATGTGTATAAAGCTATAAATCTGCGGACAAATGTATTGTTTGAATTATAAAAACAAATACTTAATAAATGTTTGTATGAAAGAAAAATTAAATCATACTGCATTAAAACCAAATGGTTTTAGCATGAAATCCTTGCTTAATAGTTAAAATCCAATACAAAAACATCAGCATAATATTTTTTCTGGAAACGTGCAATATGTATCTGTGTTAAATTACAAAAATGTTGTCTGTTTCAACTTTTTTTTTCGAAAAACGTCCATGAAAACAAAACAATTTTATTGTTGATAAATTGATGAAAATATTTCAATGTTGTGGCTTTATACCTTAAATTTATTATCATTTAGTCAAAAACACAAAATTAATATAATAAATGTAGACTCCTACTAATGGACACTATAAAGACCTGTAAAATTGACAACAAAGGACAGTTATATGCCTTTAAGGTCCCCTATACAAAGTTTAAATAAAATTACTGTGTGGTTGATGAATTATGGACATTTTCTGAATGTAAACTTTGCTATTAGAAGGGCCTTTTTTAATATAATATGAGGAAACTATAATCTATAATGTTATTATTATGAAAAATGTTTTCCTATTGCTCATTCTTTAGAAACAAATAATAACATTCAGGTAATAAATTTCACGAACAAAATGATTGTTTCTAAACAAATGCTTTTAACATGTTCAAAAATGTACCCTACTCCACCCACTTTAAACACTTATTTGACTGTTTTCAAAGTTAGCCTTGATTTTCTTAAAAGTATATTGGTTGACCTTGCAAAATATACAATATTTTTACCGTGTAGTTTTTATCTTTAAGTTATTAAACTTTAAAAATATCTGGTATCATATTAGCTATAAAATTTGGCATTATTTAGCAAATAAATACTGACAATAATTATATAAATACAATTTAAAAAAAAATCTGCCATAAGGGATCTGAGAGATACATAAAAACGTTTAAAACAAATTGCCCTTCTGGGATTGAACCCACACCCCTCACTTTCAATGCAGTTGAAAAGTAATTCTAGCCTACTTGAATACTCTTCAAAGTAGAGGTAATGTAGTGGTCTACCTTAAAATAAAAACCTTTTTCTATCAAAACCGGATCTGAGAGAAAGAAATAATCTAAAAGAAAAAGAAAACAAGAAAAAAGATGACCCTTTTAAGGGTGGAACCCACGACACTCATTTTCTATGCGGTTCTGTTCAGTTCTGACAGAACTTATATTTCTTTATTTAAAATACATACATTAGACATCAACAGGAGTTCGTGGAGAGTAAGCAATTCGTCCTTATTAGTAATCAAAACGTCCTACAACAGTAATATATTTATTTGCTATAATTTAGTAAATGAAGTGTTCTCAGAGTTCTCGGCCATAAGTGCTAAAGACAAAATTATACAGATGACTGCATGAATGCTTTATTCTGTGAAGAAAGTTATTGAATCATTTATACATATGTTTGCTAATTTTTGTAAATAAAACATAAATGTAGTTTTCAAAAAGATATGTTTAAAAGATAAACATGTAAATTGTTTGTGCCAGCATAATTGAAACATGTGTTAGATATGTTGCTGTTGGTTTTAAATCAAGATAGCTGTCGAGGGAAGAGCAAACTATTGGTGGGCTTCAGGAATCATAGCAATGGATGACGTTACACTGTTTTCCTGTCAAGGTAAATGTTAATATTTAAGATTAAATAAACTTATTTAGATAATGACAGTTCATTGCTTTTTCATAAGTCATCGGACATAGTTTAGTACTGAATACCAAAGAAAATAGTAACTTCAGATTAAGCCATTCACTTTCAAATAATCAAAAACTAAGTAATACATGCTATTGATCATATTCAAATATGATTTTAAATGAAAATAAATGGTCAAGAAAACTTTCTCTATTAACAGTTTAAATACTTTATTAGTTGTGTGCGTTCTATAAAAATCACAGTATCAATAAGGTAGCATAGGAAAATAATTTATTTACTAGCTACATGCATATCATGCAACCACGATTATTATTATATGAGCACGCGATATGTGTTACATGATGGCCATGCGATAGGTGTAAAGGTATTGGACTTCAAAATCAATGTCCCTAACCGATATGTGTGTACACTTCGGATTCCTTTTTGTGAGGAAGCTATCCAGCTACTTAAGCAGCTGACGGAATATCGGTGGTAATACTTAGTTGGCCATTCATGCCTGAAATAAACCACAGAGGGACCTCCACCATTAAAGCTTGGATACCGCCATATGTCATTTACAGTGTTTTTCCGACGTAAAACCAAACAAAAACGTTAAGGTACTATATTGCCACGCGATAATAATACTTGCACAGCGAGCCTTTACAATAACAACCTAAATCCAATCACTGTTGTAATATGTACCAATGTTGAATAAAGTTTCTATTATTTTTTACCAGTATCTACAGTTTACTTTTATTTCATTTTATTCTACTCAACAATCTGGAGATGAGTGGCTCTTTATGAAAATGTATTATTATTGTTTTAGTGTACGTTTAGCTCTCGTTGCCGTATTGGCAGACCATTTATTTACAGATTTCATGTTTGTATATTTTTATTTTTCTGATGATAGTTACTTTAGACAGGTAAAAATACAAGACAAGACAGTCTTAGACATTTATGAATAAACGATACAGAACTCTTGAAATATACTTGAATGCATTATCACAGTGTATGAATAATTTACGGAATAAACCAGAAGTTTTGTTTTTAATTTAATCTATTACATTTAAGTGAACTAAACAAGTAGTAAACAATTGTACACACCTGTTGTTTTTATTTCTTATCTGTACATCTCTGAAGGGATTTGGCTCAACTTTAAGTTTTGTTAGTATATGCCCTTGAATTTTGTATAAAAACATTACGCGTTCTATTTTGGTATATTGGTTTAAGACATCCTTAATATGATCCATTACGAATAATGTATAATTAACGACGCAAACCTGCTCATTTTGCCTTTTTAAAATTCTAAGGCTTGTGTTTAACATAAAATCATGTATGGAAAAACATTATATAACTCGTCATTATTGATCATTCATTGAACCAGGGAAATTTACTGCGAACACTTGTATGTGCTTTAAGGCTTATTGTACATGCATATAGATATTACTATGTTCTTATACATATTGTTAAACATAATGTAAATATTGTCACTACATTTTGTCATTTTTGTTATGATAAAATGCATTTTAGATTGTACGGATCTCGAAATAGCCAATGCTGTCATTAAATCATCAAACTATGAGTACGGTTCAGTGGTAAAAATACAATGTAATAATGGATACAATCTTGTTGGAGATTCAGAGATCGTTTGTAAGACGATGGGAAATTGGAGTGGAACTGCAACGTGTATTCCACATGGTATGTAAACGTTCAAAATGTTTTGAAGGAAATGCAATATGTCTATCTGTATGCGTTGTATGTCTCACATACACTAGTTTGCATTTCCATATTGTAATCAAAAGTTTGTAATGCAAACTTGTATCAACTTATTTATAGATCAATTTATCTTGAAAATTAAATTAAATAAATGCAATTGATATCCTGGATAAATTGAATTTTTTCATTTCATATCCTGTTAGTTAGACTTTCGTTATTCTTTTTATAGATTGTGGGGATCTTACAATTCCTAATGGAACTCTGTTTACTCCAAATGGAACAAGGTTTGGACATGGCGGCATACAAAAGTGCAACACTGGCTTTGTTTTGATCGGAGATCCAAACATCAAATGCACCGCTAACGGTTGGTCAAACAGAACGGCATACTGCAATTTTATGGGTAAGAATATTACCAAATATTTATTGTCGCATTAATAAATTCATTTATACCGGTCCCTATTTATCATTATCTGATTTTAAGTTACTTATATTATGTCACTTTATGTGCAGATTGCGGAAACTTTTCAATTCCAAACGGGAAACTCTTAACTCCAAGTGGAACAACGTTCGGACAAGTAGGCAGAAAAGAATGTAACACTGGGTTTATTTTGAATGGGGAACCAAATGTAAGATGTACTCTCGATGGATGGTCAAACAACTCTGCAAACTGTAGACTTGTTGGTAAGACATTCTAATGTTTAGTTTAGTTTATTGTCTCATTCCAAGCATGTCATATATACAATACATCACAATATTCAATCATACTAAAATACAAATGTACATGTTGGACCAATCTCGATAGATTTATAAGAGACATTTAATGATGATACTAGCAAAATATATTCTATAACTAAAACAAATTTGCTTTATAACCAAGTTACATGTATATATAACAAACATTTTTGCTTATTCCTTCATGAAATAGAGAAAAACAGAATCCATTTAGAAAGCCCAACACGAAATAATTGAAAATGTTGCAGACTCGGTTAGATTGAGCCTGTTCATGGAGGAAAGTACAAGTTACCGTCCACGCCCCCTTGCACCAGCTTAAGCAGAATTCAGCAATTAACAATATACTTCAAAAATAATGCCCAGATTATTTGTGACAATACTACTGCAATAAACTTGCTGTGTGAGTGAGGCCAAATAGTCATTATGTTCATACAAATGTTCATACAAAAGCGTAAGTTTAGTGCAGCATACTTGAGCCCAGCATTGCTGTATAATTATAATTATGCAGTAAAAAAGTAAAGATGTTCCAATATGAATGAGTATATCATGGAGTATAATGTGTGTAACCCAATAAGCACTTGACTGTGAAAGGTGTGTGACCTAATTTATTCCAATAGATACATGATTATGCTAAATGTGTGACCCAATAAGTAAATGATTGAACATGGTGTGTGACCAAAAGTATAAAATTGAGCATGCTGTGTGACCCAATAAGTACATGATTGAACATGGTGTTTGACCCAATAAATACAAGATTGTACATAATGCATAACCAAATAAGTACATGGATGAGCATGGTGCGTGAAAAGACATTATTCTGAACTCCTTAGATGACAGTATAATGAATAATATTAACAATAATTGGTTGGTTGAATATATTTGACTGTCTAGGGTGATCGCCTTTCAGCATGATACATTTGTGTGCCAGTGTTGATAAAATGTGTAGGGTACAAACAAACTTCACCAAACACAGCCTTAAAATCAACCGTTTAGATCAAGCCTATACACAATATGTCTTAATATTCAATGTCGATACACTGTGGCAATGTACTGCTATATCATTGCCAAAGTTAAATCTTCCTTCACAACCAAAACAAAACAAAAATATCTGTTTAACATCTTCAGTTATAAAATATAAAACTAATTGCTGTTAAAAATTATGTACTATGTACACTACTATCGTTGCATTTCTACTACTTTAACTGTGAAAATGTGAATTGAACAGATATAATTATTACCCCTCACTTTTTGTGTAATGTTAATTTCCCATAGGCCACTGGGACTTATTTATACTGTTAATGCAAGTTTACCATGTGACTAAGAAATGTGAACTGTTACAGGGTAACAGTATCAAATCTGGTCACATGGTTAACTTTCTAAAGAAAACAAAAATTAAATCATCAGAAAAATTTATACAGTTATTGTTCGGGGTAATAAAATGAATAATACATGGGTTTGTGAGAAACAGTAAAAATATCATCCCTCGTAAAATAACTGTTACCCTCGGCTAACGCCTTAGCAGTATTTTCCTCGGGATGATATTTTTACTGTTACCCACAAACCCATGTGTTATTTATTTTATTACATTTTCAATGTTTCCGTGTTGGGCTTTCTTTTGGGATTCTTATTTTCTCTATTTTAGCTAATTGCATATTACGACAATAAAACATGCGATAGCAAAAATTACATAAACAACACATTTAACTGTAAAAATGCTCTCATAATATTTACAGATGTAAACAAAAAAACCCAATAAATTTCTTTTAGACATGATGTTCAAATCATATCTCTGCCTTTGAGATTGTTTAAGACTTCTAGTACTATTGCTTCTGAGTCATTGTCACCAATTTGGCATGTTAATTGTATTTTAATTTCTTCATTGCACGAGGAAGACCTAATGTTATTTTCTTCTCAATTTGTAAACTCATTTTCACTTCCAGAGTCTGACATTTCTTAATGGTGATTAACTTTTGTGTGTTTGCAAGTCATTTTATTGGTAAGAATATTACATGTCGCATAAATAATTGATAAATTATCATGTTCACTGACCACAGCCTTTTGATACATGATAAGAAGTGGAACATATCAACAATACCCTAATTAAAGATTGGTTATATTTTATGTCTTTTTGTATGAAGATTGCGGTTACTTTTCAATTCCAAACGGGAAACTCTTAACTCCAAATGGAACAACATTCGGACAAGTAGGCAGAAAAGAATGTAACACTGGTTTTATTTTAAATGGTGAACAAAATGTAAGATGTACTATTAATGGATGGACAAACACAACTGCATACTGTAGACTTGTAGGTAAGACATTACGTGTACTCTTTCGCTTCTAAACGGACTGTTACAGCAAGGGGACGATTATCTGTACATAAAAAAAGGAAAAATACCTATCATGTCAAAATAGAATGAATCTAATTTATGAAAAAGTTTAATTGAACTGATATAATTATTACAATTTATAATTGCTATATAATAACAGTAACTCAAGTATAAAAAGAGAACATCATGAATATCTCAAAAGGAATTAAATGCTTAGAGCATCTGTCTGTGAAATGTTTGCTCACAAAACACTTTTGAACCCCATAGTTGACGTATAAGTACATGTAAAAAGTATTTGTCAAACAAAAGTTTTTTTCTGTAGAAACAAATATCTTAAATGGACTTAACTGCTTAGTGCAATTGTCTGTTAAATGTTTTCACACAAAACGTTTTCAAAATTCCATAGGTGAAGTATTAGCTAAGTGCATATAAGAACAAAAGAAATAACATGTCTAACAAAAGTTACATAAACAACACATTTTACTATATAACTGCTCTAGTAATATTTGTAGGTGTAAACAAACATCATAATTTTTACACACGAAGTTCAAATTCTCGCATTCTCTTCTCATTAGACTTAATTCATACAGCATATCTGTCACAAATATATAATAAATAAGCAGCATATTAACAACATCAACAATGTAATGAAAAATATTCTGTTAAACAAATACATGTATAAAGTGTCTTATACGCTAATTATTTCAATTAAACGTGTATGAAAATTACTTTCAAAAACAATATTGAATTTATTTCTTAACTGTTGTTTATACAGAAAATTAGTACAAAAAATAAATGACCAAAATATCTTTTTATGTCACAAAATATGTGCATTTTAATTTAGTCGTAAATTAAATGATAAGTTAGCACACTTTTGTAATTTCAGAAGTTGAGACAAACAGCAGCAGTCCTCTAATCGTCGTGTATGTTTTGGTTCCTGTCGTTTTCATCATGATTGCAGCTACTTTTACTGTCGTGTACATGAGGTAAATTGTTTACATACTTTAACCTGAATTATTGTTTGATTTTATTAACAAGTCAATTGCATACTGCACACAATATATGAATCTTCGACAGATTTTCAGCAAGTTTCGTGAGATATATGCATAAAGATTTGATTTAATTTGTTAGCAATAGAGTAAACTTTAAAATGTCATACGTGCTGTAAGATTCCAAATATAGCAGAATCTAACGTGCCACAAAAGTACATTTGAGTTATCTATCTAATATATTTCCTAACGTAAAATCATTGACTTGTCTGACTTTATTGATTATTATGATTTTAATGCATCTCTTTAAAGGATGATATGATTGATTGACTGAAAATAGCTTACTATGACGCCCTGACCTATATCATACGTAAAATAAACGAATATTTGGCTTTAATCAGATTGTACAAAACCGGTCTCTTAATGACGACAACGAAGATACGGAAACAAACGTATACCTGTATGCAACCAAAGCACCAATACTACTTTATTTTGCATTAACATATGCAGGAGTCTTCGTATTTATCTTATCCCTCACGGGCACGAGCTCTAAATACGTCATCTGTGCCTGCAGATGTCAATATCCAAAAAAATGCATTTACTCTTTGATTGTTTTGCTTTTATTTAAGATATGTAATCAGATTACCTCATTGATGAATTTGCTTGCAGGAGAAGACATCTGAGTTGCATGAAAGTATTAAAAACTTTCAGAAGAGCTCGAGAAGTACCGTCTGGAGATTCACTGCAAGGAGAGAGTCATTCAAACCAAATGTATAGTAACGAAAACCTTCAACTTGATGACGAATATGCAACAATATCCGGAGAACAAACTGACGATAACAATTTAGGTACCGTTTATTACGCAACCGTTGATAGATCCGGAAAAAAGAAACCCGGTGTCTCAAAGGAAGATAATCAAACAAAATCCACTGATTACAATAAATCAGCTTGTAGCATTGATTTAAATGAATGCAATACATATAATGTACTAAGCGCTAAGTCTCTAAATAAGAATTTACAAGGTGGCGAAGAGCATGACTTGGACTACGACAGTGCATGTACCAGACGAATGAAGACCGAAGCATCTAACCATGATGACTATTCCCATATGGGTGATCTTGAAATGAAATACCAGCACACTCAACATTTTCTCCCCCAACCGGACATAGAGAAAAATACAGATTACTCTCATATTGACAGAGTCAGTAACAAGGAAGTCCCAGAACGTTTGGAAACAGACTACAACGACAACGATGATGAGTACCAACATTCAGTCGTGAAAGAGAAGAAGAAATCCGGAAAGCATACACCTAAGATAAAACAAATTGAAGATCAAGAAGAAACAGATTATTATAATGTCGCACAAATCAAAGACATGTACGAAAGTAATAAATCTGAAAATCATGATAACTTTATTCTAGAAAAGACATATATTCAGTGAGGGGAGTGGGGTGTGAGTGTGTGTTGTTTTTTGTGTTTGTTTGTGTGTGTGTGTGTGTGTATGCGTGTGCGTGTGTGTGCGCGTGTGCGTGTGTTTTTTTTCATTACAAAACCTTATTGGACTTTTGCGTAATTTTTGTGTTCAACTTTATAATTTTATAATCCTGTAACATTTTTTGACAAACGTACAGCTGTTTAATTTGACAGAATTATGGCATTTTATAAATAATTATGTCGACAAACAACACCATTATGCTTCTAAAGACATTGGCCAAAAGTGAATTAACTAAACAGGAGTGATCATTTAATAGTCCTCTTTAATTTTATTTTACCTGCTAATCAAGATGGCCGCCAAAACATTAAACGCTAAGATTGGAACTACAAAAACCTGTTAACATAGCAAACATTATCAATATCTGAAATATCAAATTTCGGTCGGAAAATATACCTACCTTCAACAGTATTTCCTCCTAAACTGCTGAGAAAAATTTGAATAAGACTATTACAGTATTTATCGATCACCGAATTAAGCTTGAAAACCTTTAAGTCTATGTCCAACGTGGTAATAGTTCAACCTCGGTTTGCTCGAATTACCGATCTCTCGAACAAATTTGCACAGTTCGAGCGAATCAAGTTCAACTGTATATAGAAATGATCCCTGGGAAGTTCTTAATAAACAGTTGTTGAACAAGATGACCACCAAAGTAAGAATTTAACTTATTTTCACTATTTAAATAATTTTCACATTTTTATTAAACTCCATAGGAATGTTCCATGGCTAGTCCTCTACCTATATTGCTCTATTTGACCCAGTTTGCTGAACAACAATGAGATCACAGCAAAAAATGGCTTTCGATGAAACATAGGAAAAGGTTTAATCTTTACCATTAAAAAACAATAGCCTAGGATGAGCAATTAGAGGCAATCACGGCCCTTTTCTTTATCAATGTTGTTAAAAAATAGGGAGATTTTAGCCTTATTTTACATATATCGTATCACGCCCGTGATATGTTTATCGATTGAATTGCAAAAGTTATGTGAGCACAACAAAATTAATACGAAAACAAAATAATTTCATCATGCGCTGTAACAGTTTCAAAGGAACAGTGACTTTTTATTTACCCAAATGTCATTTAATTTCCCGTACTTAAAGAGCTTAGCTTATAAATTCAGTAACAGAAATTATTATATAAGCATTGTTTATTGTTCTGCCGACTTAATAAAAGCATAATGGCATAATGGCGATTCTGAAGGCTTTCAGCTATTGCGGAACAAATACAAACGATTGATTTAAATAGTTTTGTAAGTTTCTAATGAATCAACGTTCATATGTAATGACATGATAAATACATGTATTGACAGACATCTATTTGCATCATTTTCGATTGTCAAAACCCGTTGCTTCATCAACATAGGTAAAACTGCGTTAAAAATCCTGTAACTCAATTTTTGTATGGTTTTCTATTATAAATATGATGCTCAAATGAAGATTAATCAATATTGTAAGTTTCGAAAAGCATTATTTGTAAAGATAATACCGAATTTACATTTTCATGTTAATAAAGGGAGGTAATTAGAAATTTATTTTCTATAAAGTCTAAGTCAAATATTTCAAAAAGAAATGAATGCATCTATTTTAATGATTACATACAATGTGGACACATATTTGCAGTTCATATTTTACATACTCTTTAATGTTTGAAAATTGTTTAAGAAGCATAATTAAATATACATATATAAAATTTTACTTATGTGTGGTAACAACCTTAATTACAACATTGGTGCTTACTTCTGGTCAGTGAAGAACAAGACGTGTATGGTTTACAGATGAGTATTGATGAATGTTTGTAGAAATTGTTAGATGTATCTTATACATTATTAAAACATTGTTTATCAACAATATTTCGGGTTATTCCGATCTTGAAACAAGATTTGAATATGCAATTATGATTTTTTTGCAACAGTTACTTCCCTTTATTAAGTTATTGTACGGGGCTTAATATTTTGACATGCTTTTTACTGTTTTATAGGCATTGTTGTTTTCATTATGAAAAGTATTACTCGGAATTGAATGTAAAGCTTTTATTTTTTTATGTTACTCTTGCTCTTCTTATTTCCTGCCCTGCCCTTCATATGTCAAATAATTGCTACATGTCAAAAACTATTAATATGTTGTAATATCAAAAGGGGGCAGAATGACTTTGAATATGAATAAAATTCTGTGAAGTGTGTTATATTACTGGGAACACTGCCTCAACTGTTTTATACTTTATCGACATTATGTATTTGAGGTAAATAAGTAATGTATGTCATTTTGTTTCACAAATAGTGCTCGACCTTGACAAGCTTAATATTGTGACATCATCGTCATGGCAGGATTATATGTAAAATAATCATTTACAATGACAATTGTAAAAATAGTGAAGATGACTTTTATTTACATCTGGCCCGTTATGTAACATAAATGATAACAAGAGCCACCGCCGGGCGGGGGCAACGCTCGATTTTTTACTTTTTCTAAACGCAAACATAGAAAGGTTTGAACATATGTTAACGTTTCCTTTTTAAAAATTTAGTTGGTCTGTCTTGTCACATTAGTTTTGTTTATCTATTTTATATATATATATGAATAGAAACACGCAATTCAATAAATAGAAACACGCAATTCTATAAATAGAAACACGCAAGTCTATAAATAGAAACACGCAATTCAATAAATAGAAACACGCAATTCTATAAATAGAAACACGCAATTCTATAAATAGTAACAAGCAATTCAATAAATAGAAAGACGCAATTCAATAAATAGAAACACGCAATTCTAAAAAAAGTAACACGCAATTCTAAAAATAGTAACACGCAATTTCTATAAATAGAAACACGCAATTTCTATAAATAGAAACACGCAATTTCTATAAATAGAAACATGCAATTCTATAAATAAAAACACGCAATTCTATAAATAGAAACACGCAATTCTTAAACTAGAATGTTGTTGTTGTTGTTGTTGATGATGAGGATGATGATGATGATGATGATGATGATAGATATGTATATATATATATGGTCATTTAATGCATAAATCTGAGAAATTTCTGTAATTTAACCTTCAAGGTCAAGGTCATTAATGAGCCCAAGCAAATTTGGGTTTGATAAACAACAAGGTCTGGTCCTTAAGAATGTTCTGTTATAATATGAAGTTGATCCCTTTAATAATAGCAAAGTTACAGTCAGTTACCGCCAAAACAATGAAAATTTCAATAATTTGACCTTCAAAGACAATGTCATTAATGAGTGAAGGTCAAGGTCTTTCGGTATGTTTTTTGACAGTTATCTTTGAAGATTATTATGTTCAAGTTTCAAGACAATCTATTCAAAAATAACAAAGTTACAGCCAATAATAGCAAAAAAATGAATATTTCAATAATTTGACCTTCAAAGTCAAGGTAATTTATGAGTGAAGGTCAAGGTTTGTCTAGTTATTTTTAAGGGATATCCCTGAAGATAATTATGTTCAAGTTTGAAGACAATCCATTCAAAAATAACAAAGTTACAGCCAATAATAGCCAAAAAAATGAAAATTTCAATAATTTGACCTTCAAAGTCAAGGTCATTTATGAGTAAAGGTCAAGGTCTGGTTAGTTATTTTAAAGGGATATCCTTGAAGATTATTATGTTCAAGTTTGAAGACAATCCATTCAAAAATAACAAAGTTACAGCCAATAACAGCATGAACAAGCAAAAATTGGACTTTTAACCTTGAAGGTCAAGGTCATTTATGTATGAAGGTCGAGGTAAGTGTGGTCTACTGAAAGGTCTTGTCCCAAGGGTTGTTGTGGCCAAGTATGAAGACAATACACCAAGAAATAAAAAAGTTATGATCCAGGTACAAGTTTGCGGACGGGAACGGCAACGGCAACGCCGACCCGACTATAACAATACCTCTCCTTTTTTTTCAAAAAAGAAAAAGTCGAGCTAAAAATTGCAATAATTTACTATATTTATTTTGTAATATTGACATGTTCAAATATTTATAAACATCCTTTATATATGTTATATTAACATAATATTATCATGTAAATGCAACCTGAAACATTGCCAAACTCGTCATCATTAATAAATGTACATGTCCGCAATGCAACATGCGACTTTTTATGTTGTTATTTTCTATCGTATATATTGTTGTATTTCAGCGTCCGACCTTGAGATTTTTGATACATACTGTTTAAGTTTATCCTTTGTCACATTCCTCCATCGTTCTTTCAGCTGACATTTTGTATTTTCAAGTTAATTTCCAGATTTCACCGCTCAGCTGTTTTCGTGTATTAATCTTCTTTGCAAGTGCGCATGCTCCGTGTCGGGTCATAACTTACTATGCGGATCATAAATTTCTGCGGACCCCTTTTTCACCGGATCAGTGTTACTCACGGCGCATGCCCAGTATCGGGTCAACAGGACCCTCTGCGCATGCCCCGGGTCAAATTCAACGCTAAACTTCAGTTGCGATCCAGGTTTCCAAGAGAGCAGCCACGCTCTGTTTACTCTCAAAATTTAAATAATTATTTTTGATAATTTCATCAGGTTTCTTCAGAAACTTAGGTACTTAGTACTTTCTTGCATCATTTTTGCCGATTAAGTAAATTTTTCCATAATAAATTTTGGTAGGAAATTAAATTTACGAGCTTTTATTAAATTTTCCCACTTTGCCATTTTCGTCGAGGTCTGACAGCTTAGGAGATATTAACGCCTGACTACGCCAAGAAATAATTAGATAAGTCGAGTATAGTCAGCCCCTTATATGAATATTTAGACTTAGTCTTTGCCCCACCCGCGCGCACGTCGCATCTGGTGGCAGCTATTGAGGATAAGACTTCGCCTACGAAATAATTTTGTACGACCAGTGTTTTAAATCACCGCCGTGTGACGTATAATCAAGTAGCAAGTGCTACCAATACACATCCATGTCCTATATTTAACCGTTTATCGATCGAAAGCGTAAACACAGCCAAGGTCACGTTTGTTTACATTTCTGCCAAGGGAGAGAAATCTCGGTAAATTTTCGTTGTTAAGGAGCGCATGAGTTACCTCCCGTGATTTTGTTTATCTGAACAGTGAATTTTCTTTTTGCATTTTTTCTTACTTTGCCTGTTGTGAAGAGTGTAGCCTGTGTGTTTCTCATCACCAGAGAAACAAGTTCTTCATTTCCAGAGGAACTGATTTGTTTTTTACTGATTTGATCTGTCAAATGATTTTGAATTTGAAATAAAGTAGTTGAAACTTCTATTTTGCTGTCTGTATATATAAAAGATGTAATTGAAAGACATCTAAGATATACATGTATATATATAGTCTTAATGACCATCTATTTTGTTGTCATTTTGAACAGTAATAGAAATTAAAGGTTATAACGTATCAATTGTTCGAATACTTTGTGACCAGTTTACTTAGATAATATATACAATGAGTGTTAACCAAGACCAGAGTACTTTTTGTGACTTTAACGTAGAAGGGGACAGCACCGCCCATGGTGACCAAGCAAGTCATGGCCAAGAGAAAAGTCCAGAAGTCCAGAAGCCTGGATAGCCACTCACTCCTAGGATCGACCAATGTGGGGGAATTTTAGCAACCCCAAGTGGAGAAGTAACATTCAAAGTTTCAAGGTAGATACAGTCAAACCCGTTTTATAAGATCATGAGAAACATCTAATTTCAAGGTGTTTGATGGTCAAGATCATTGCACGGCAAGCAGGTACAATGTACAATGCCAGTACATTGGGGGTATGGAGACCGTGATTGGGCGTGGTGTGGTCATCAATGGAGTCCATGGCAACAACATTGGGACCCAGAGTAGTGGGCAACCCAGTGTTGGTTTGATGACCCAGGTTGCTGGAAGACCTCACCCTGAAAGTCCTTTTGGTTTTGGAAGGTCTCGTCCACATGGTTTAATCGGCGAGCAGGTTCTCGGTGGTACGAGTGGGGCGCATGTATTATACAGTAGGCAGCCGGTGTAATGTTGTAAAGTGACCCCCATAGAATAATGACCCCCCGGTCATTATTATCCCCCGCCGAAAAATTTCGGCGGAGGATACAGAAATAGTCTCCGTCCGTCCGTCCGACCTTCCGTCCGTCCGTCCTTCCGTCCGACATTTTTGTCCGGAGCATATCTCTAAAAGTATTTGAGGTATCAACTTGAAACTTCATAGGTGATAGACCTCATTGAGGAGGAGTGCAGTGCACAAGAATTATAACTCTACCTTGCATGATATTTTGAAGTTATTGCCCTTTGTTATTTTTCAAAATTGATTTTTGTCCAGAGCATAACTCCAAAAGCTTATGAGATATTAACATGAAACTTCATAGGTGCATAGATCTCACTCAGGAGGTGTGCTGCAGTGCAACAAGAATGATAACTCTACCTTTCATAATTTTGAGTTATTGCCCTTTGTTATTTTCATACCTAATTTTTTCACCTGAGTGGAGCATAACTCAAAAAGTGTTTGAGATATCAACATGAAATGTCATAGGTGGATAGATCTTATTGAGGAGGAATGTTGTGTGCAAGAATGATAACTCTTTTCCCTATACAATTTTCATTGAGTTATTGCCCTTTGTTTTTTATGTTATTTTGTCCAGAGCTTATCTCAAAAAGTATCACTTGCCCTCACCGTTGTGAGTTCGGACGCCTACCAGGGTCGTGTAATAGGGTGAAGGCATAAACAAACTGTGCGCTGCTCAGTTTATCATTTTTAAAATAGGGGGAGA